TCTCTCTCTCTCTCTCTCTCTCTCTCTCTCTCTCTCTCTCTCTCTCTCTCTCTCTCTCTCTCTCTCTCTCTCTGATATATATTCAAATGTTTCCATATAATAAAAGTAACTTAAAATTCAAGTTTGAAAATTTTTCACTGTGGACGCAAACATGCCGTTTACTCAAAAATGGCAACTATATTTTGTTCAATCTTTACAAAAGTAACGTCAGTGTTAAATGTACTTGCATGTATTTCATTATTGATTCAAAGTGTGTCATTACTATATTTTGGGATAGTGCACAAGGTACACACCTGTGACGTCTGACCTTTAATTAAAGCTTGAGCTCGCGGCCAGTAATCATATAAAGTCAGACAACGTACAAGGTTTTCGCTCTCACTTTTGTTGCGCGTTTATAAAACGTCCCTGTCTCGCATTATGATGCTTAAATCAACAGAGCAAAGCATTTATTAAACGTCTTCAGCAAATGATTTTGCACATAAAAAGAAAAATTTATCTGATATTACACTGCTTGCGTACAAATTGCACACAAATGCTGCGGTTCAAATAAACACACGTTTTACGATCTCCTTGTCATTTTACGAAATTTTTGATATTATATTTTCCTATAATAATTACCTTGGTCACGATAATAATAGCATTGTGATAATTGCAATGATGAAAATGTATAATTTAACGTGAATATTGATCGCGTTAAGGTTCTCAATTATGTTTCGTTTTTTTTCTTGGAGCGAGAATAATCTGCAGTATCGCAGCAATCACGTGCAGCATATATGCGCGCGTATATGCGACTTATATAACAATAAAATTCAAATTATTCACATCCCCTATGAGTAACTCGGTCTATGGATCACTTGGAATGACTTGGATAAATGTTTCTTTTTTGCAGTTCACTTCCTTGTTGCAAACTGAACGTCGCTCCTTGAGTTACGAAACGTCGCTAATAGGCTAATATTAACCAGTTTATCAGTGGAATTCTGTAACTCGTTAACTGTCGTTAACGACAATATTACAAACACTGTGTGTTGTTGTGCATCTTTTCTAGCATATGTTATATCTGCGCAATATTAACGCGACAACTTGCTAACAACAGTTAACGAGTTATAGAATCGCACTGCTGTAGGATCACTTAATTCCATAATTTTATAATGACAGTGTATGGTGTGTCGTTGCAGCTTTTCTATTATGTATATACTCGCGCAACGACAACGTAACGATAACGACATTCGTCGTTAAAAAGTTACAGAATCAGTAGACCGGCATATACTTTGTCAGTTTGCTTATTTTACGCTCAATATAAAATGTGTAACATAAGACTTGTAAATTTTTAATTGGCAATAGAAGATCCGCTTGTCGCCGATGTACGTTTGCGCATCGAAAATTTCTGATTTTGTTCCAATTGTTTTCGATCAAAAATTTGTAGAAAAAATACTGTTTATCGATCAAATAACAATAAAAAATGTAACATTTAATCAAAGCAGTATACAAGCAAAGGAAAAACTATTCTACTAATAGCGATATTGCGTTTTGTATTAGATAAGTAAACAACGTGTGTACGTGTATAATACACGTCAATTTGAAAAAGATACACGATTTGTGATGTGAATTACGATTACGTTGTAATTACGTTACAATGCTAACGCATTCTCTATAGTCAATGCATGTAGCGATATGTGCATATATAGATATAATTGTACTAATCATTGGTTAATCTTGCAAATACCATCGGAAAATGTCAGATGCTACCACGTCAATACAAAATAGAAATATATATTGCTAGAAAGAACGAGTATCTAATCTTGATTTAAATAAAAATCTTCAATTGCCATGTAGTATAGTAATATTTCTTCTCTCTCTCTTCCTTGATATATTTCTTTTTAAACTAATCAATTTGCAAAATTTTTAGAGTAAAGATTTTAGAGTACAGGAACGTATGTTTGCGATTGTAATTTTACCAAACAACAGCACATGACTACACGTGAAGTACTTTAACTGGCGTATTCGATCTTTTGTCGTGTCCTTTTTATATAGATATATTAGTATGCATTTCTGTCGTATCAACATTAGCCAGTCGCTACAATGTTTATATATATTATGTTAATATTCCTAATAAACAAAAAAGCCTATAAAACGCAAACGCTACACACCTGTCGTAACTGTAACGCAAATGTATAAAAATAAAATGATTAATGAAGCAAACGGGCTGATGAGATGCTTAAATAAATGTTTATTATAAGATTCTGGTTAAACAGACTTACCAAATTTGGAAGATATTAGTAAAAGGAAAGTATCAGCACACAAGTCTTGAGCAGAATATGTATCGCATACAAATTAACTCGACTGATAAGATGAACGATGTAAGTGAAGTCAACTATAATGAATGAACTGATTGCATCGACGATTGATCGCCAATTAATAACGTGCCGTAGCGTCACGATGCTCACTTTCCACCTGTCTAGGTAGTAATAAACTCCAATGTCCCCCCACCATATTATTGAAGTAGGACATTTGCACTGCGTTAAGAGCGGAGTCGCGCTACGCTTGTCGCTGCACAAAAAATTCAGTCACGTGCAATTCTCAGACATTAATGTCCGCAGTAGACGTGCATACATAGAAATATATTTAAATGTGTATCCAGCACTGTACTCTTTCTTACAAGATATATTCGTGAATAAATTATCTAACTTTAACCAAGTTATCGAGATCGATCCTCTTCCTCTAATTATACAATATCACCTGAATTACCACCGTGAATAAACTAAATTAGCTATTGGTATCAAAAGAATCACAACATACAAATCGTGTACAAGTAGACATTATTTTGACGAATCATATTTTATTTGCTATAAATGCGTATATAAATATGTATTTATAAAGATTCCATTAAACGTATAGGAGCGAGCTATTTATATTACAGGATATACTCGACTAATAATCGAACGAATGTTATTTTTTTTACCTGCAATCTTTTTTCTGTTTTATGAAATAATATTTGTAGTTGATCTAGTTAAGATCCTCACTATTAAGTGTATTATTTCATAGAATGTTATAGTGTATACAATATTATTCTTGTTTGCTTCTTGGCAACATTTATGTCAAATTTTGCATCAAACGCTGCAATTTACGATTTATCCGTCGATTTTTTGTACATTTCAGGATTTGTCGCACAGCCAGGGCACGTATGTAAGGATTCGTGAATAAATATTTCACAGTCTAAGCAGAATGGTTGATTACACTTTTCACAGATGTATACCTAAAAATATATGAATAAATATATATGTGATACATTTTTTCTGTACGTATTAATTTAGAGCGATTCAAAACTCCTTAGAAACTCTCGTTGTTCTATAATGTTGTCCAATCCGCGTTATAGATTTCTCGACAAATTCGAAATGTGTATTATTTATATATAATTTCGCTCGCGGCCATGTGTATATGCACATTTTTCATTGCAGGTATTCAATATCGCATACGAAATATTCAACTTTGCATAATTCTGCAACAATATATACAAATAATGAAAAGCATTACCTTTTTGTCCTTTTGAGTAAAAACTTTTTGGCAACCAAAGCATGATGACTGATTACCTTCAAATCCAACTTCTTTAAAAGTTGCAACTGGAAACAGATAGTGATATGAACGTGCCAAGTGTGGAGCGGACACCAAAGTAAGACCGCAAGATCTACATTCTACAGGAAGTTCGCAATGCTTGCTGAGACACTGGGGACATAGATAACCAGTGCTCATCAGTTTAACTGATTCATCAGAACTTTCCGCATGGCTGCAACAAACAAAAGATTCTGATATACATGTGCACTTCTTTGTCGTTTGAAAGATTTCTCTCACACACACACACACACATATATATACACACATACATCAGGTTAAAAATGCTATTAGTGCATTTTAGTTGCAATACTGTTGCAAATATAAATTACATACATTACTGGTTTGTGTACACTTACCACATACACACTGTCATAGGTGTATCTGTCACAGTGGAGTGTAAAGCATGATGAGGAAATCCCATTTTCACAAGTGCTGCATCTAATCGTGTTGCAGCAGGTGGAGGATCTATATGCGAATTTAACTGCTCTTTGTAATGCTTATCATCGAGTGCAACGCCATGTTCACCACCAGTGGCATTTGCCATTCGCTTGCAAATATATAACTCTGCAGCTAATCCTATAACGCTACATCTAATGCCGTCCGACTTCATGTTCTGCGTGGGATAATCTTCACATTAGAAGTTCTTAAAGCAGATTTTAAACGCATATATACACAGTCGATAAAACATACTAGTATCGTCTCGTTAATGTCTCCAGGATCACAAGTAGTAAGAGCTCCTATAATTACCAGTATTTCTTTACTAGCGTGCGACGGTAATAATCGCAATGACTTTAAGGCCAACTCCAAGGAATTTTGCAAAGATGGTTCACCAGTTGCTACAGTTTGCTGTAATGATTGCAATTCCTACAAACAGTATATATATATATATATATATATATATTTTTTTTTTTTTTCTTTCTTTGTGTATTATTATATACATATAAAGGTGTGTAAAAAGTTTATCTTCAACTTTAATAAAGATAACAAAACATATAATATTACCTTGATATGTTTTTTGGAATTACCAGCTAAGTCGCTAATCTTCTCAGCTCTTTTATTCCTAGTAATGATTACACCCAATTGACTTATAGGATTTTGGTAGAAAAATTCTTCAATAAAATCTTCTAGAAGCTTAAGATAAAATAATATTTAACAAATCTTTTTTGTACATTACACATATGCATATATACATACATACATACATATATACACAATATCATAACATTAATACATCTCACATATATTTTATACCTTTAAAGAACACAAAAGACGAGTTGGTTTTAAATCTTGATTCGACATTGATTCAGAAGCATCTAAGATTATATAAAGATGTCTCATCATTCCCAATCTAGCACCTTCTTTTCTGTCTAACTGACGTTTTCTTTTGGCATTAAGAATAATGTCTGCTACAGATGGTTCCAACAACCCATGATCGTCTTCCTTGATAGCTTCCCTACAGTACAAATATATTATTATATAGTGATTATGCGCTATTGAACAAATATTGAATATAAAATATATATTTGGATATTTAAAAGCACCATCATAAAACAACATAAACACTAATATTAATTAATTGTTACATGAAAAACATACCATGTTTTTTCATAACCAGTCTCCCAACGATATTCTTTTTCCTCCTCTTCTTCAGCCATTCCTTATCGAGATTTGGATTCAATTTCAAATTGAAAAAATACTATCGTCGTAATAGCTCGATAGAAGGTAAGAAAATTTATAATATTATCATACACACGTGTGAGATAGAATATATAATTTACTCTGTACGGTGAATAGGTTATAAAGTTGTTTATATTATCATCACTGATGCAAGTATCTCAAAATTACATCGGAAATGTACAAGAGGTTAGGCGGATACAAATTAGATCTCGTATCATATAAAATGCTGGAAAAATCTTTTCCACTGACGAGGCCTTCAATGCCTTTCCTCTTCCATTAATGTCTCTCCTTTTCATCTGAACACTATGAGTCTGTTTTCTGTTCTTGCATTGTTGAACTGGTGCAATAAGTTAGAATGAGACAAGTATATTTTTTCTCGCTCTATCTCATTTCACCAGTTCAGCAATGCAGGAACGAAAAACAAACTTTATATCAAGTTTTAGAAAACCAAACTTTCTGTTTGCTTCGATAAGTACACTATCATTTGTCTATCCAATGGATATTTATAATCTATATTTCAGAAATGAACGCATAACTTTCGAGGCGAAAATATTTCTTTAAAATATTTATTTAAAATCATTAATTATTTTTTTTTTTCATAGAACGAAGAATTCTGACGGAAAATGGAATGATACAAAGGGGATTATAACCGGAAAGCGATTTACAATGTGTTTTTCACACATACACACACACAAGTCAGTTTCGATAAAAGAATCTAAGGAATCGTCTACAATGCGGTTTTAAAAGGCGTTTTTCGTTTCGTGACCACGGTAGCGTTTGATTGGTTAGTTTAGTCCACTTAACGCTTGCAACGCCTCGAGCAACAAAGATAGAAAGACACTCGCGGCGTTAAATGGACCAAACTAACCAACCAAACGCTACCGTGGTCACGAAACGAAAAAACGCCTAAAGTCGTAGCACTAGTCTGTGCGAATCGATCATGTATCTAGTTTCTTCGCGTAAACTTGTGAAAAATTGAAAGTTTTATTGACGTATTTAATAAAATTTTTCATTTTACACAATTTTGAAAAAACATTGAGAAAATAAATACATAGATCGATTCACACACTAGTGCTACGATTTAAAAACGTACAACTGGAATCGCATTGTGAATGAAAAGATTGGAAACTCTCGTTTCTCATTAGTGAGTCCGATGAAATTTTAAGACAAACTTGAGGTAAGGCCAAAGATATCGCCATTGTTAATTCGTAAACCTTAGACTACTTTTGCTTTTCGTTGATTGCGTCCATCAGAAGTGAAGGATTATCGTAACTATGAGCATTGAAAAGAGGGACGAATCTGTTGCAGAATCACTATTGATCGAAGGCAACTGTGTCTTTGAAAATCTAAATTGTCGGATTACGATCAATAGGCGACGTCGACCGTTGGTTTCCCGCCAAAAGGCTCTTTCTCAGGATAGGCTAGGTAGACCGGGGCAGTCTGGGACAAACCTGGTAGACCGGGTAGACAGATAGAGGGCGAACGGGCGGCCGCCATTGGCGCCACTGTCAGCCGACGCGGTTGCTGTTTTCGTCTTGTCTCGCACGACAACGAGCAATTTCGCAGGCGGAGGAAAATTTAACCGATCGTCAACCTAGCAGTGTGTAAGTGAACATCGATTTGCTTTTGCCGATCGTGTCGTTAATCGGTTTCATCACGCGCCATGGTGTGTTCGAAAAGCATTCACGTTGAGGACAGGAAGTGAGTAGCTCGTAGAAAGAGTTTTAGCGACGAGAGCCATCTTTGACGAGCATCGGCTTGGCTCGTAAAACGAGAGGAAACGTCGAGTTGAACATTGGCAACAACGACGTCGCGTTGCCGGCAATGTCACCTGTTTCTCGTCAGTCGTATCCGCTAGTCATTTTCGTATATATTTCTCGTAGTCAGGTAAATGAGCCTCCGCGTTCGTGAAAATAACGAGATTGTTCGCGAAACGTGGCGGGAATAAGTCCGAGAGGTATAGCTCGGTGAGTATAGCTCGCCCCCTTGCCTCATCACACTCACACGCCACTGGTCGCGTTTACAATTCCATACCCATTCCCCGCATCCATTGACGCTGCGTTATTTGTACGGAGCTATGCGTTCAACTTGAACATTAGTAACAGGGCTGCCGGACGTTGGTGAATATCGCCACGGCTCCACGACGATGTCGCGCATGGCACGATGGGCCAGTGCCACGAGTGCGCGCGCGAGGTGCAATCGCGCGTGCACGAGCCGTGGTAACGGCGCGGCGAGTGTTGAAAAAAAAAAAGATTCGATTGCCGGCGTGGTGTTCCATTCCGGTTTATTCGTCGTAAACGACGCGGCGAGACTCCGTGGTGATGTGCGCGCGTTGCTTACTTATACTTGCCTCGTGTTATGTAGGAAGCGGGAAGATTGTTCGTAAATGGATGTTCCGTGTGAGAAAAGCTCAATTTTCTTCCCACTCCCTTCTTCCCCCCCCCTCTCTCTCTCTCTCTCTCTCTCTCTCTCTCTCTCTCCCCTCATCATCTCTCTGTCGTACGCGTCGAAGTCGATAGCCGTGCCGGGCTTCTTCCGCGTCGGGACTATTGTGAACTGTTGTATCAGTTTTCTCGCCTACTTACCTTCCCTTATCGTTATATCGTATTCTAGTTTTCGCAGAAGTTTCTCAAATTAATCTGCAGAAACTTTTCCATCAACGGTTACTGACAACAAAAAAGTTCAAATTCTCTTATTCGCTTCTGCGAGTATGTAGTAAAGAGATTAACAGTGTTTGTAGTAGCCACAAAAGATCTTTATATTCATCACCCATTAAACATTATTCGACTTGATCAAACGCGTTTGTTAAATTTTTAACTTCGTTGCAAATTTAACTTTTACGTAGGTTGCAAAGTATACAAATACAATATCAAAATAATATATGTTATATATAAATGTTTGGCAATGTATGTATTTTATTAGAGCATTAATATCTGTGGTTTTTAACACGTATATTAAAGTATACCATTTGAATTTTAGAAAAATAAGCGTTACAAGGGATCTAAGGAATTAAATAAACACATACAGGATGGAGGGAGACGATGGCCCTTCAGCCATTAGTAACAAACCTACTATTATCAAAGGTATTTTTTATATATATACATCTTAGGTATGTTTATATGTATACATACATATGTGTACACACACACACACACACACAAACAAACATTCTCTCACTTATTCTGACTTTGTGCTTGTCGATTGATATTTTCCCAGATAGACTTTTGTGATTATCATAACATAGTATAATTTGATGATAAAAACTAGAGTTTTTTTTGTCTTTCATTACATTCAGGCAAATATACTGTAGCGAATTAATCATGAAATTTACATCATATAACAGTTTAAATTTTGTTACATTGAGATGCAGTAACAAATCTACTAAAAATTACACTGAAATTTTTATGTTTTATTTTACATGACAATGTTTTCAGCAAATTTGGATAATTTTTTTTTTTTGTATTTCTTTCTGTCTTGTCATTCTATCTTCTGTCTTGTCTATGCATATAGGTGCTACGACTAGTAAAGTTGCTGCCAAATTTATATACGCCTGTCTAGGTGTTATGTCTTTAAACTTTTACAAGTATCTGTTATATCATTATAAACTGTATTTACTTTTTTTATCTCATTTTCATATTTTACTTTATTAGCGGCGCAAGAAGAAATGGGCCGATTGGATGTACTTGTATGTGGACAATGTCATAGCGTCTTTCACTTTATTGAGGAATTTCAAGAACATCGCACAAAAGTGGGAGCTTGCTCTGAAACATCGCACTTTCGCGAAAACAACGACGTCAGTGTCTATTATGTTCTGTATTAAGTCATTCAGTTAGATCAAAACAATATTGTTTGTTTCCATTTGCAAATTATCCTAATGTCAAAACCTTCCCACATTTGCAGAATGGACAGAAGGCGCAAGTTTGGGCGTTTCTTTTATGGAAGGACTCACAGATTCAACAGGAAAGCTCTGACAAGGAAGCAACTAAACCTTGGAATTTGTATCAGAAATGGTGTAAGATGGATCCACACGTAAGAGATTCATGGATCACAGCAGGGAAAACCATACAAACTTTCACAAAAATTAGTAATGCAAAAATGCAGGAAACACCAAGGCATATTCAATCAAACACCACCGACGGTAATATATTTTTAATACGAGGAGGTTGAGCGAGTGAATAGATTCATTGTTTGTATCGTTGTAAATTCTGCAGGTACCAAGCCTATAGTAGTTCGCAAAGTTATTAGAAACGGACAACCGGAAGAAACGAGCGATGTTAAGAAAGATACTACAAAAACTGTGGATACGAAAGCACAGGAACCTATGGAGATCGAGACGGACAAGAGGGAGAAACCAAAATTGAAACCGTCAATAAAACCGAAGGTTTTGCGCCATTTGATATGCAAAGTGTTTGTACATTTTTACATTTGTTTCATTTACTTATGAGATTGCTTTATTTCTGTAGAATAAGTCCGGCAAGGCAGCTACCGATGAGGACGCAGATCTAAGCAACGAGGAATATGTTGTTGAGAAAATTTTAGCTAAACGTTTAAACACGAAAAAGAAGTGCGCGGAATATCTAATCAAGTGGGAAGGCTACACAATGTAGGTGTCTTTTTTCAATTTCTTTCCCTTCTTTTCCTCGAGAAATTCTAATAATGCAGAATAAAAATAACATTTTACAGAGAGGACAACACATGGGAGCCCGCAGAGAACGTGGCGATTTGCAAAAATCTATTGGAGGAATTTGAACGAAACCTTGCTAAACAGAAGGAGCTTAAAGCTGCTCAACAACAGGCTAGCACGAAAGTCGTAACACGTACGAGTTTACCTGTGCAGAAACCAGTTATAAAAGTCGAAGCTAGCAAACCTGGACCAAGCACGGCATCTCAAGCAGGGTAAGCGCGATTCTCTTTGGTAGTTTTTTTAAGTTGAACACATCATGTTCTGGTACTTGATGCATAATTATTGCTGCGTGCGTGTTAGACGACCGATGCGGTCTAGTAAATCAAAAGCAATGGATCAAGTTAAGCAGTGGGTCGGTTCGATGAAGGACGAGGATAATGATTGTATGTATTCGTTTATTAATTAGTATTCCACTTACTCAATTCGATCAATTAAATATTATAGATATTGTTCCATTAACGTACGTGCGTGCGTATATGTTAGTAACAGGTAAGAGAAGAATCGATTATTCGGATAGCGATTCGGAGGATGGCGGAGGTAATGCTGCGAAGAGAACGAAAGTTGATACGGGAAGCGACGACGAATGGACCGGAGAATCTGAAGATGAAAGACTAACAGGCCGTAGCGACGTGATACAACGTGCTTTCAACCGCGCCAATGCTCAATCCAACGGATCCAACAGAGCGTCAGTCTCAACTACGGATTTAGCCACTTCGTTAGGGCTGCAGTCGCCCGATGGAGCAAAATCCAACCAGCCTCCCGTTTTAGTAGCCAATGCTAAAGGAGTGGTTAAAGTTGATGCGAAGCAAATGCCGAATTTAACTTCTGGTGTTTACGTTATGTCACGAAAGGACGGTATCATCAAGTTAGATTCATCACCTAGTGGCAAACTAGCGGTCAAAGGATCTTCATCGACGCAAGGTGTTTTGATGGTGCCAAATCGCGACAATACAAACGTAGTGAGGAAACAAGTAATCTCAACGTCGCAATCGAACTCGATGACTCCTGTGAAGGTAGTCTCGAAGATGGATGGCAGCCAAGTGGTAACTCAGATGAAGGTAGTCCAAAAGACTATCACGTCCAAGGTGAATGCGCAAAAGACGGAACCTATTAAAATACAACCCAAGCCGGATCCAACGCAGTTGCAACAGATACACGTTGTAACTGCGGTGCAAACACCGTTAACTCTACAACCTCGAATAACCACAGCTATAAGACCTGCCTCAGTCACACCTCAACGAACGGCGGACGGTCGTCCTTTGTTACCCAGACCGGCCCTACGGGCTACAGCGCCGACTAGCGTTCTCGGTACCATACGTTCACCAGTAAGAGCACCGTCTCCGAGACAGGTACAGCCACAGACGCCGCGTCAAGTGTTGCACAAGCGTACAACGACAGTCGTAAGTACTACGCAAGCCGTTTCGCCGAGCGCCGCTAGCACGGTCACACAAATTAGACCGAAATTCACAGTACTCACCACTCAACCTAAACAGGTGATAAAAACTGGTGGAACCAGCCTAGTGCAAACCACACAAAAGCAATCTCCGAAGTCGCCACTGGGTAAAACACAGTCGTTATCACCGCAGCAAAAATTACTAATGATAAAGAGGAAAGCCCAAGAAGCAGCGGGCATAATCAAGCCGGGTGGCCGTGGACTTCTGACAGGTGCTCGTGCTGCTGTGGGACGAGGCAGAGCGAAAGTAACTGAGTCGCCCGCAACGATCGCGCATGTGGGAAACAAACCTAAGGAGAGCAAACTAGCCGAGGGTGATGGATTACACATGCAGTTTCATGTTGGCTCAGAGGAGAGCAGTAGTGAGGGCGAACCAGATTTGCCTCCGCCCGACCCGGACACCGTCACAGCTCCCGAACCAGACAGTCCGCCGCGTCCGTTCACATTGTGCCCTCTCACAGGTCGTATTATCGGTCCGGACGGCGAACCGATCGAGCAACAGACGGAACAGGAGCCTGAGTCGACAGCTCCTTCGGCTGCGTTGTCGAGTGTGAAAGAAGCTTCCATCATATCCGAGACAGCGACGCCAGACGCCACGACGGCTACAACCACTACCACTACTACCACCATCACCACTACTATCAACACCAACATCACTAACACTAGCACCGCCACCACTACTACCATTTCCACTAGCAACACCAACAACAATACTGCTAACAACACTAATACTACTACCACTACTACCACCACTACCGGCGTCGTTGCCGCCGCCGCCGCCGCCGCCGCCGCTGCTGCTACTGCTGCGACCACAACGGCTGAATTGGTCTTACCTTCTCTCGACTCGCTCACGACAGAAAGCGGTGGCATGGTGAGAGTCGAAATGAGTCCTGGCGGTACTACAGGTACTATCGTCCAAACAGGCGAAACCGCGCAGATAAATCTGTCGAATGTCGCGGTACCTGCACCGGATCTACCTTGTTTGGACGATACATCACCCACAGTTCCAGTGACAACTGCATCCGTGACGACGCCCTTGACAGAAGCCGCATCTGGCGGCACCGAAACCTCCATCACTACGGCGTTGTCGACAGTTACGGCGACACCTACAGCTACCGTGTCAGTAACAACGGCTGATGTCAACAAAACCGAAGAGAAGGTCTCGGAGGAAAGAAAAGTGACAGACGAGGCGTCCAATCTGGTCACAATAGCTGAACATGGCGTTGTGTATCAGGTTGCGGGACAAGCTGAGGACGGACAGACACTTTTGGTAACGCGTGGCGCTGACGGCGAGCAGCAATGCGTGTACGTTACTACTGAACAGCAAGGAGACGATGGTTCCGTCTTGACGTTGGATCACGCTGTAGCTGAAGCTGTGGCGCAATTGATTCCAGACCAAGTAAATCTCACTCCTCAATTTTACGTGAAGGAGGACGGGACAGAACCGACTGAGAATTCAATGGTAATGTCTATAATGGATAACGCAAATGCAACCGATGTCGCCGGTACTCAAGAAGACAACGATGGACAGGCTCAAGTTGTAGCCCAAGTGGTACAAGCCGAGGAACCCACTCCAGGTACGATGTTTCCGTTATAACGATCATTACAAGAACTCTCGAGAGCGAGCGTGCAAGCGAGAGCGAGAGCGAGAGCGAGAGCGAGAGAGAGAGAGAGAGAGAGAGAGAGAGAGAGAGAGAGAGA